AAGAAGTCACCATTTTTTTATTTTTCTAAAATCTGTCAGGCACTTGGCACCTGTGATAGGCCGTGCCAACGTGATTGATTTGATTGGTTCTTGCATTTTTCATGAAAGAAATTAATTGCTCGTGAGAAGTGAAAAGTGCAAAGCTAAAAGGTAATTTATTTCAATTTTTGTGCCTTTTGCCATTTCTTCTCATACAGGTTGGAAATGTGACAATTATTGACTGAATTATAATTCACTATCAATAAAGGCAACAGCAACAATAAGGATCTCAGTCATTGGCTTCTTTTCATGATAATTCTTTTATGACTGGTCTTGTATCTGGCCTATGATGTGGGTGTTAAGCCATCAATCCATTCATTCGGGAGAAGCACAAGCATATTTTAAAGAACCCACCACACATGTTGAGAAAAGTAGTGGTCCTCCTGGTACAATGTGCCCAGGTTAAAACATTAGAACAGAGCTGGTATCATGTAAATGTGTCATGCAAATTCTGTAGTATGAGAACCTGTATAATCCATCTCTATTTTAATAAATGATATTTTGGATAATGTTTATCTATTTCAAGTCTGCAAAGTAAATGATACTGGTAAAACATCATAGCATTTCAAAGAACGGGTTGATCGAATTAGAGCTTATTAGAATATCTCGTTTCTGCACAGGTTCTTTATATTTGATGAAAACAATTGTCCAGATGTAGTTTTTTTTCATATTTGCAATCTTTAGGACATAAAGCTGTAAGGATACTTGATTGGAGACATTTCGACTTGTAGCTATACAGTTTCTACACATACATTGTATGTAATAAAAATTCCTTGGAGACAATTTTCACAGTGCCATGTTTCTGCTGATCTCTGTGTGGACCATCCTGTACTGTGTTATTACCTCAGCTGTGTGTGTGTGACATGGGGGACAAGTGCACCATCCCACAGGCTCCCCTGGCCTGGGGTTAGGTCTCATTACCACAGCCCACAGCCTGGCACCCAGGGGACACATTACCTTATCACAGCTCAGCTGTCCAGGGCGGTCACCTGTTGTGGCCCCTTTCACCTGTTCCGTCGGCATCAGACACTGTGTGACCAGCTGGTGCTTAGATGAATGTGTACATGTACCCCAAGGCCTGGCCACTAGTTCTATCACATGTGTTGCTTGAACTACAAGTGTTGCAGATATCCTTGCCATTATAAACTTTGTGAATAACAATTTTTTTTTTGACTGACATTATGTGAGCACAGGTGTGAGAAGAGGGAAAAAGGTTCCACATGACATCACTATGTCATGTCCTTGGCACTCTGGGAGGTTTAACCAAATAAGTTCATCCCATTAATGTCAAAGATTAAAGTAAAGACTTCTATATTCATAAAAAATTGACCATGTGCCTAAACTGCAACAGCTGGTTCAGATTCAAGTTGAATTCACTCATCCCTTGCATGAATGTTTCCGATTAGATATGAATGGAGTAACCGTAAAGTGATGAAGTTCCAAGCAGATGTTCTTGTAGAAAATCATGACACTTTCTGTCTGGCCAGCTTTTCTTGTAGTGGCATATACACCAAGGTACTATTTCTTTCTGGAGTCTGTAGTGAATCTTTAGATGGTAGTATTTGGACCATCGCACACCAGGGCATGCCCCTACTCTTTTTCGAAAAGTGTGGTGGGTTCTTTAACGTGCGTGGGGTGTGACTCTCCCCAAACACAAGACCTCTATTTAACGTCCTATCCGAGGGACGTCCCTAACCAAAGCTAGGTACTCATTTTCACAGGGAAGTGTGTAAAGTGCCTTTCCCAAGGGCAGAAGATCGACAAGGTAGGATTCGAACCCGGGACCTCTTGGTCCTGAGCTGAACACGCTACCGCTATGCCACACGACCCCCCACAGTAATGTGATCCAACACTAGTTTCAGCCCAGGCCCTGTTTCAGCCCTTTGGTTAAACTGATGGTGTTGGAGGTGAAAGGTAGCCTGGGTACCATCCTGGTTAGTTCCCACAGTCGCTACTGACCAACTGTGGCAGTGGATGTACCCAGGCTAGGTGAAAGGGTTATGTCCTCCTTCCTGCAGTCCCAATACTCATGTGGAGGGGCCCTTCAAGGCAAAGATATCGCCATGGGGATCTGTGTTGTAGTTATTGGTGTTGACTCTCAAAATATAATTTTGCATGCTGTAAAATAGTACCTGATACTGTAAAGTACTGTAACTAGTAGAATGTTATATTCTGCGAATGCTAGCAATATACTAACCGTGATGGTATTCCCTAGGAAGTGTGGTGAAGCTCTATTATTATACAGCTGTATACATGTAGCTTTTCTGTCTATATTTTCTTTTTTTTGTACCTTTATTTGCAGGATAAATGGAAATTTGTCCACACAATAGTCTACAGAAGCAAAGTCCTGTTTCTCACCCCTCCTGCCGGGAATCAATTACATTATTTCAAGCTGTTCCATAAAGGAAAGAGGATCAATAATGGCTGTTTGGAAATCAATGCCAACCCATATTTCTATTCTGAATGTTCTATTTCATGTACATGTATACATGTATGTGTCACTTGTGAAATACTGGAACAGTTTTTGCTCTTAGCAAAGTAAAACTCATCAACAGTGCTGTGCCAATGTCATGTTCATTGAGGTTTCCACCTTGTAGCTACGGGCCATTGTAACTAAACATACCAGACTGCGACCAGCTAGCATTCGTTTTATGTCATTTTACCCCTCCAGAAAGTGAATATTAAATGGAAATCAATGCACATGAATTTACATACCCTCACCTTACCTGCTGCCCACTGGAAAACCAGGAGAAACCTAGCATTGGAATGCATTTCAGGAAGCAGAAAAAAAAACAATTGAAGGGGTAGAAAGCATTTGGAAGTCAAAATGAAATGAGCAGACTGGAAACATTGTTCTGCCTGCATTTCCTTAGTCTTGATACCTACATGCAGGTACTGTATACATGTACCTCTTGGACCTTGGTATTAAAGATCAATCATCTGTTATCTGTTCTACCTATTGGAAGTACACCATATCCTCCCTTTTCATGTTAGGGTTGCAATGAACTATCCACTACTACACTGCAGTTTCAAGGGGATCCACTAGAGGGTCTCACAACCTCAAAAAGTTTTGGCATACTCATGAAAAGTTGAAGACAGAAATGGCAAACTTTCTTTTTGCCATTATGAATGAGGTCCCACAGATACATCTGTGCATGTGTGCAGTTTGTTGAAGTTTACCTTAGTAGTGAAACAAGGTGAAAATGACTGTTACACCCCAGTGTTCCGACATCCCTGTGTTCAGACAACACTGCCAAATTCCAACAACTCACTCAATGTTCCAACAACCCTAGCCCAAACTCTATGTCGGAATGTAGGGGCTTCGGAACATAGCGTTGCCCCCCTGAAAATGACAGCTTCTCTGCTCAACACAAACAGCAGGACTAAAGGAAAAATGTCCCTCTCTGCAGATCTTGCAGGCCAAACCACAGTTCCACATTCATGTGGGCCTATGTAGGGACATGTTGGGTCAGCTGTCCCCGCACACTTGCCAGATATGTGGGATATCCAGCTGGACTGCACATTTCTCCATACTCATCCCATACTGGGTGGCCCCAGGGACGCATCAGTGCTGATGTATCAGCTGTTCTACACAAGTAGGGCTGGTGTCACATGTTCACACACGGCTTACAAACAGAACCATGACACAATTCATGTCCTTGGAACAAATTGCCACAGACACATTTGACAAAGTATTGTGGTCTATAAAAATCCAATTAAGATGCTCCATCTTCCTCTTGTTTTCAGTTTCATTAAGCAACTGAATGTTGCAGTGTAGATACTACGGGTGTAGTTTTTCAGTGAGGTCATGGCATTGCCACAAAATGATCTAGGGGTCTGGAAAGTTATTTCAAAGAATATTAAAACCTGTAGGGGAGCATAGGTTCTCTCTTCACCTTTTAGAAATATTACTAAAATGGTCCATCTATATCTATATAGCCGGTATACTAGTAACCACCCTTCGGTGTAACACACCAGCTTCGCAGGCTCACGGTGTGGTGGCAGCTGGCTACATTACACCAATTGACTTGTTACAGCTAATGTCCATGATAGAAAGGGGTACATCTAATTTTATGGTCATATGTAATGACATTGAAATTTAAGGAAATAGGGTGTATTAGGTATTTACCCCACAAAGTAAGCATTTCCATCGTCTCCTACTAGTTGCCATCAACTTGTATGTTTGCAAGTTGTTGGGGCAACTTTAAGATAAGAAAATCTTATTGTTGGTAACAGTTTAATTTTTGTTGGCTTTTCATATTTAGTTATCTACTATTACAGCATGCCTTAGCTTGCTTCTATGTACTCTTGCTGGTCAGCTTTTACATGTGACCAATAGCTGGGCCTTTGGGCCCTCTCATGTATAGGTGAACAGGGTTTCTATGACTAATGGATTTCAGTTTTCCCCACAGCTTACAGTACATAGTCAAAGTTCATGCCAGGAGCTTTAGAATCAGAGTATGAATGTGGAAGATCAGAATCCAAGAGTCTGACCAAAAAGGAAATAGATGGACAACATAAAAAAGGACATTCACTAGCTTAGACCTCAGTCAAGTGTATATATCCCCAGAAGAGAGATGGTTGGCAGTCAGTCATTAGACACCAACTGCATGAATATCCTCAAAATGGACAATACACTTGACTAGTGCTTGTGAACAACTTAGTTATATCATGTCCAGTACATATATACATATACTACGACCCTCACCTTACTCTTCTGTCCACCAGCAAGAGTCATTTCATACAGGAACAGTTTACAGCTTACTATGGATCTAGTTGATGTTCTGGATGTTATATTTATCAATTGTTTTATGTATTGTGTATTTGTTGTGTGTATTCAGGATTACCTGAAAAGCAGGCCATAATGGCCTGAGTTGTAATTACTGGTAAAATGAATAAAGTAAAGTAAAGTAAAAGTGTGTTACAGTACTAACTATAGCTATGCCTGTTGTTCTCTGCAGTGCCATGCGCATCCTGCTGTCGAAGTTGCCGCGTCCGTGGATCGTAGACGAGAAGAAGGATGATGGGTACACAGCACTGCACCTCGCGGCCCTCAACAACCACGTGGAGGTGGCAGAGCTGCTTATCCACCAGGTAAACGTAAGTTGAACAGGCTGGAGAGAGACTACATGTACACTGCACACATGTCAGGCACTGAAGAACAGATCCATTTCACTGGTTGTAATTATAAAGGCATGAATGTCATGTGTAATTGTCACTGTCTCAACATCTAGTAAAACGTAAGTTGAACAAGCTGGAGAGAGTCAACTTCATGGCATACATGTCAGGCACTGAAGAACAGCTCCATTTCATCTGTTGTAAATGCATGAATGTTGTCTGTAATGTGGCACATTGTTTGAATCCATGTTCAGAAACACAGTCAGGTTACATCAGGTCATAGTATCTTAAGTATATGGATGGCATCTGCCTATGTACTGATTGATATTTGGCATTTTTAAAGAGGTAAATGTGACAATATTTGCAGTATAAAAAACTGGATAAGATTTTATTGATGCAATAGTATACACAATACCTATGGTTAATTTGTTTCAATGGTTATCCACTAGCTGCACTTCTTTTAAAAAAAGGTAAGCTAAGATGTCATCTTGAAACACTTTAACTTGACTGTCCACAGGGTCAGGCCAACATGGATCATCAAAACGTGAACCAGCAGACAGCATTACACCTTGCCGTGGAGAGACAGCACACTCAAGTGGTCAGGGTAAGTGGACATGACGTAACATTACATTATCAGACCTTTGGCTTTGTGTAGAACAAAGACATTTTGTGTATATCTCTCTCCTGATTCAAATGTCAGTCGTAAACCAGCAATTTCTTGCTTGTAGGAACGTCAAGAAGATTTCTGTTTGTTGCTCTTACTTGCACAAGTTCACATTCTGTCTTTTAAATGGATTAATTGTTCTGGTTCTGTATTCCAAACAAAGTGATGGTCTACAAAACTGAAATCATTCATTAAGGTGTTTGCTTGAAGTTCTATTTCTCTGCTCTGTTTATTTTTTTGTATTTTTTTATACGTTTTGTATGCAAAAAAAAAAAAGAATCTGGAGGATTTAAAATTCCTACTGTAGCTGAATATGGATGTAGTGAATGAGTCACCTTGAAAGATGACGATTTTGTCCTGTACTTTTCCAGCTGTTAGTGAGAGAGGGAGCGAAGTTGGACATGCAGGATAAGGACGGGGACACGCCCCTTCATGAGGCCCTGCGGCACCACACCTTGTCTCAGCTCAGACAGCTGCAAGACATGCAAGACGTGGGCAAGGTCAGTTTCAGTGAAATAAAGTTTGATTCAATTTCTAGATATGAAAACTGAACATCCTTCTGTGCCGTAAGATATGTAGGGAAGCTATATGTATGGTGTAGCAGGTAACAAAGATACAGTATATTCCAGGTATTCCTACCTACATGGATGTCCCTTATTTGGAAATTTACATCTAGAACATTTTAGTTTATGTATAATGTCTGTACTGTTATTTCTGTGGGTCAGCTTTACCATCTGAATCTGCTAGTGTTGACCCTTGTAATGACCTGTATCATTGAAAAGAAATACAAATCAGATACAATACTTTTATTTTTTTATTCAGTAAAAATCGCAGAAAAGATCTGTGAGGAGTCAGCAACAGGATCAAAATATCCTATACAAGGCCGACTCAAGTTAAAAACAATATATATATAAGAAAAAACAATAGCAACAATAACAGGCTAGGGTGAAAGAACAATAATAACTGTATGGGTAAGATAGTAACGGATAAGATGATGATAATAATGAATGAATAATACAATTGAATACTGCAGCTCCTGATGGGACTGGGCACCCAGGGTGCAGACAAGAAGAGCAGCGCATCCATCGCCTGCTTCCTGGCCGCCAACGGGGCCGACCTGCACATCAAGAACAAGAAGGGACAGACGCCGCTGGACCTGTGTCCTGATCCCAACCTCTGCAAGGCCCTCATCAAGTGCTTCAAGGAAAGGCACAGGTATCTGAAAAAAAAAATTACAGGAGCTACATGCACTCACTTAAATTTTAGGGTCTTAAATGGTACACTGGTAGATGATAGGCAAATCATGCACAGTTAAAGATATAACAATTATTAACATTATATATGTACGAAATGTAGCAACCACAAGACCGATGCTGGAAGTTATAAATAGCTTTTGCGAGTTTTGTGAAATGCAAGACTTTTCACAAAGTCTTGAAGACGTTTTGTGATCAAGGAATCTTAAGAAAAAGAAACAATAATCAAGGCAACACCTCCACATGAACAAGTACGTCTACTTGAGTTAACAATAAGCATTTATGAAATAAAGTCTAAGCTTTCCAAAAGTATGTCTACTTGTGTTTACAATAACTTGAATAAGCCTTTATGAAATAAAGACTAAGCTTTCCTTCCAACACTGGAATGAATTGGGACTTACCCCAAATTTTCTTACCCCAATTCATTCCAGTGTTGGGAGGAAAGCTCAGTCTTTATTTCATAATGACTTGTACCAACACAGATGAACGTTCATGCTAACAGTAGGCCTTGTCTCTCAGCCCCCCGATGCAGCCGCTCCACGGGGGGTCCATCCATAACGATGAGGAGGCGCTGGAGGAGTGCATGGTGTGCTCCGACATGAAGCGGGACACGCTGTTCGGGCCGTGTGGACACATCGCCACCTGCTCACTCTGCTCACCTCGCGTCAAGAAGTGCCTCATCTGTAAGGAACCAGTGCAGTCCAGAACTAAGGTACTGTTCTTCAGTTCAAGTCCTTCCCACACCTTTTGGTGTCCATCTCCATTCCTGTTGCCCCTGGGCTACAAGGCAACTACAGTAGAGGGCTAGTCTACTGGAAGTGGAGTGTGTGCAGCTCATATTCTCTTTCTGTAAGTGCTGAGTGCTAAACAAGGAAAGCAACACATACCACTTTTTAAGTCTCAAGTCTTCCCACAACTGCTAGGCACGCTCTACTTCCAAGGCCATAGCACTGGTCATGTAGTCCTCTACATTAGGGTTTTGAACTTGACATGTAGCTATTCTCTTACCAGAATGATTTTTGTCAACTCTATTACTATCTAGATCTAGCACTCCATCTACAAATGTACACTGTAAGATAGTTTACATGTAGGTAGTCTTTTGATGTCAAGTGTTGACTACTACTGTACTACGATAGAACAGTTTGAATATGTCATTTGTTGTATCATTCCAGGTTGAAGAGTGTGTTGTGTGTTCAGACAAGAAGGCATCGGTCCTGTTTGAGCCCTGCCTGCATATATGTGCCTGTGACAGTAAGTTTTCTTTGGGATTTTGTCTAAAACATCTTTTAGTATACTTATTAGGTAACAGGAGAAATTGCATCTGTAGTGTGTGAGTGTGTAGATGTGTAGCTATTCAGAGCAGAAAGGTGTAAGTGTTCCTTTAATAAGGTGAAAACACTTAATGGTGGACATCTGGTCTGTTGCAGTTTAAGTCAGTATTAGTACTAGGTACTCCACAATACAGTTCTTGGCAAGGTAGAAATACATGTACGGCAGACGCAGTGCTTCTACAAGTGTCTTTGTACTTGTTTATGAGAGAAAAATATTAACACTGTCATAGAACCACATGGTTCATACAATTTAAGATAAGCACAGCTCCCAATGTGTAATACATAATAAAAGATATGTGAATGAGATTATGTTTACCAGACATGTTTTGTATAGATGCTGACATGTTAACTTGTTGCCTGTTCCTGTGCAGATTGTGCCAGCCTTATGAAGAAATGTGTGCAGTGCAGATCTAACATAGACAAGATGGTGCCATTTATTGTGTGCTGTGGAGGGAAACGTAAGTGACACAAAATTTTTCATTTTGGAAATGAAATACTGTCATCATACCTTCACTTGTGTCAATATTTCCAAAACTGTGACACTGCTCCATACAATATACAATGTGGAAAGGGAGTCATGAAGTGATAGTTCCTTCATGTGGTGACATGATGTTCTGTTTCCCCAGCTCCATTGGAGAAAACCCAGAACCAGGTGCAGGCAGGAGGGCAGGCCACAAACAATGCCGACATTCAGAAGCTGCAGCAGCAGCTGCAAGACATCAAAGATCAGGTGAGGCTGGCAGACTGTGAAAAGAGGAGTTAATAAAAGAAGACAATGGACCCTGCTTCTTGCTGGGTTTTGGTTGCAGTTATGAGAAGCAATGACAGGGGGCAGCGGCCATTTACTATATTTATGCATGAGTATATACAGAGAAAGCTAGATAAGCATCACTGTTGAAGTACAGATAGAAGGCTGGACGGATCCACTTTATTTTTGAAATTCAGCTGAGAAACTGGCTCAAATGGGTACAAGCAAGGTCACATCAGCATGTTGTGCATCCTTGATCCAGATGTAAGGCAGCATGATCACTTGGAAGATACAAAAACAGCTTTTTTGTACTGGATCATTGAAGTTGTCCTTCACCATATACATGTAGACAATGTACATGACTGTAAAAGAGTATTAGAAATACATACCAGTATATCAAAGTGATGGCTTGTGCTACAGGCCATGTATGTGGAAAACTAAAATCAAGCTGTTATAAACTCGTTCTTGCTGATAAACCTGCATTTCTGCACAAGTTCTCTAGTGCCACTGACGAAAGTTAGTGGATGCTACCTGAAATGTCTGACCGTTTCCAAATCATATCCAGTTGCTTGAGTAACTGTTTATTGGCGTGTTATAAACTTGTTTCAATGTTGTTATGTTGTTATGCAGACCATGTGCCCCGTGTGTCTGGACCGGCTGAAGAACATGATCTTCCTGTGTGGCCACGGGACCTGCCAGCTGTGTGGGGACAGGATGACCGAGTGTCCCATCTGTAGGAAGCCTGTGGAGAAGAGAGTCCTCTTGTACTAGCCTCTGGTACTGCAGGATAGGAGCACCAGCCAATTTTAGTAGGCTCCATCAGACCTCTCTGCAGGCTGTAAAGTGGCCAAAATAGGGGGAACATTTTGCCAGAGTTGACCAAGTATTGGAGTGCACAATATTGGCCAATACGGTTTACAGAGAGGTCTGTGTAGGTACTACAGTTCAAGCATTTTACCCCCTTCACTATTATGTGCAAGTATACATGTAGGTAATTTTATGTGGATGTCTGTGATTTGATGCTTGAATAGGAAAATATGTCTTTTATAATAGTTGATGAGCCACTTGTGCTTGATAGATGTGCAGGGTTCCTTTACGTGTATATATCAATGTTGCTGTTTCAGAAGTTCATGTACAGTCTTTCTCTGTACCCAATTATGTTGTCATTGGACTTGTCAGATCCAGAGCGTCAGATTTTAGGTGAAGCTTCAATGGTGTATTGAAAAAAAAATAGAATGGCAGTCATTTCTTGCACTCATAAATAGCCATGCTGGAGATTCTTAGAATTGTATCATTATCATTATGCATTGTACTGTTATGTTAAACAGAAAATACATGTACCTTGCACTGATGTTGTATTGTGTATCAAAAATTGATCAAAGCAATGATGAGGCTCTGTGAGAAATGATGTTCAGTTATAAGTTATAATAATGTAATAATTATTGTGTTGTCTACATGTTTCTTAAAAGTAATGTAATTCTGCTTGTGTTATATGATAATTTGTCATTAAGTTAAAGGTGTTGATGTTTGTCATTCAGGACATAATGACAAGGGAAGGTGAAGATATGGGTGTACAAGTGTTGTGGATGGTCTGTGGTGCACAACACAGTAACTTAAGTTAACACAGTCAGCTTCACGGGTGTCATAATAACTACTGTATTAAGCATAAGGATTTGGCAAGTCTTTTGAAAAGAGACCATTTTGTCATCGTGTCCAGGAGATGGCCTGAATAATTGATTTTTAAAATTGGGTCTGGTTGTACTTTTGGGGGACTGTAGGAAGGATACAACTTGAGCGGGACAGAAAAGGAGATGACAGGAGTAGAAAAATTACCTGAGTTTATAAGCATGTATGTGCTTGATTACATGTAAGTAGTAAATTATTATCATATGTCATGAGGGTCATGGGACTGCTCTGTATTGCATTTATGCTACGCATACATATGGTACATATGATAAGGAGGTTGTGTAGGGGAGTTGGTCAATTACATGAATATTTATGATTCAGACAGTGAACTAGCCAAAGGTTTAACCTAGAAGATAAGGAGATACGTGTATGATAAATCTGGAAAAACATGCATCCATGTTTACAATTGGTTAGAAGGTGTACATGTAAGATGCAATAAGTGATAACTGACATGAATAATAAGATTGATTAGGCTCTATTAACAATAATTTTAACAAGTCTACCTTGTATGTGACAGATTGTGTTCTTCAATGTGCTTTTGTGGACTTCTTTTGTCTATTAACAGAAAAATGTATGTTTAAATCAAGGGGCCATTAGAGAACTAAGCATTTGGTCACTTCCTCTGTAGTACCCTATAACTGCACGGATTCCCATACAACAACCATTGGTCATTTAGACTCGTATAGCAGTGCTTGTAACATATGTAGATAACATACATAGAGACTGATTCATGTCTTTCATGCATCCATAAAACACAATAAAAATGTTCACGTTGTATGCAGCTGAGCACACCTCTTGTTGAACATTGTGGGTAAAAAGGCTTCATCAAGATTAACAATCAATATTTGTCAAACATCTTTATATTGTTCACATCTACTGGGGTGTCAGGATTCAACATTGGCCCATTGGTAATAATGTCACAAAATATCATGTTGTGCCACAAATGTGTGGAAAAGCAGTGGATAGTTGTTACTGTAGTTCTTTAATAAAAGACATTGAACAAGGCTACCCAGTAAATGTTGAATCTGTACAACAGACACTGTTGCTTATGCGCACTTGAATAAATCTGTTGGGCATAAATGTGTTTTAGAGTACTGGTAGTTATTTTCTTTCTTCAGTCACAGCATGCATGTGCAGACTCATCTTTATGTTGTTCCAATGAATCCGTCAGTGTCATGCAACTGTTTCTTATGTACTGGGGTAATGTAACTTTTAAGTTGCTACTTTCCTCAATACTACACAATGCCACAGTGATCTTTGCTGAGGAATAGGAAAAGAGGCTGGTGATGGCCATGGTGCTGATCACATAATCTAGGTCCTGGCTGTAGTTCTATAGCAACATGCTAGGTGGCACTGGTGAATTGTTGTCACGGCCTACAAACACACACATACACAAATGAAACAAACAAGACAGCAGTTAACTGTGTGGTGTAAGGTGTGGACAGGGGCAACAGTCAATCAACAAATCAGACTTCACTTCTTTTTTTTTATTGTTAGAAAAGTCCAGTTCAGTTACATGTTTGACCTTACTACCATTATCTGAGGTGTATAACTCTTTCTTCCCTTTGTGGTATCTGTATACTGTCTGTAAGAGCCTCAATGATGTACATGTGATTTTAAATGATTCATTAACTATTATAAATTATCAGTTTAATCCACTAGTATTGTATCTGTTTGCTCCACGTTGTTATTAAGAAACCCTGTCAGCACCAAAAACATTGCAATGTTCCCGCATCTCTTACTCCTCCATATCCACCTCTTGACATGCATATGTGATCAAATACCGTGTATGTTTCTCAAAGAAGAAAACAGACAAATATCCAGTCTTACACTACCAAATATTATACCTACATGTACAGTCAGTTCTCTTCTAACCTCATGACAGTTAGGACTATATACAGTGAAGTTACAAAGCTTTACTTTAGTCTAGTTTTAGACAAATAGAAAATGTTCCCTATCAAGTGTGAGGACTAGCTACTAAATCGGAGAAATATATCACTGTGTTCGGTATGATCCATGAACGGTTTAGTTCACAAGGCATTGTTAACTAAGTTACCTAATGTCGAAACTATGTACACAATGTACCTGGGTACAAGTTGAAACAACATGGTATGAAAACACCTGACAGAGAAAGACATAACATAACGGCATGCGAACATATTACAACTCACCATAAGAGCACAGGCAACTAGATGTAAAGTTACAAGTATAAGCTACCAGTATATAAGAACTTCATGAGGTGTAGTCCATTGATGTATCAATTGAAGTCTAAGATTTAAACAGTAAGCAAGAAGCACATTTGAGCCAAACATACTAATTATACCTTTCGTTTGCATCAAAGTTCTTACATCAAAGCTGTGGAGTGACTTTACATTGCCTATACATGTACAAGCATCCTTCTAGCAGAGACTCCCAGTGCAAATGCTGACATAGAGATAAACAATGTTTTTACAAATCTCAGAAACTCTTCAAAGGGAGGCAATAATTTAATTCACAGTTAGTTTTGATTAGATTGGTGACTGAACTGAAAAGGTTTTGAGTAGTCTACCTGAAACTTACACTATGATGACAATAACTCTAGGTTATGACATTTCCCAAATGTTACTCTTGGCTGGGTTCTTGGGTGCTCAGGCTGAAGTATCACAACAAAATCTTACTAAGATCTTCAATCTTACTGAGATCTTCGTGCATAACACAAGCAGACGTCCTAAAACCTACTGCACCTTACTTGAAAGGAACACTTAATCTACATAGAGCATAGAAAGCCACTGAATGTATGCCGAGCTGAGTTCCACATGGGCACAAACATTTCCACACAACAATTTCAACAAAACTGGCCATGCACGAATCTCATTTATCAATTACCTCATCAATTACTAAGTGACTTGTAATAAACTCCTATTGGTAAATATGTGCCAGATTTTAAAGACTATCTAGTCTGCTCCCTGTCGTTTCGATTTGTTAGAAAATTGCTAGCTATACATGTAACATATACTAGTCTTCTATACTAGAAGTTGTGCTAGGTCTGAGTCTCATCATTACAAAGAATGCTAACTAATTCACTGTGTGTTTTTTTCTATACTGCTGTTCTTCGACCCCTTGCACATTCCTAAAACAATGTACCTCTTGAGACAAACAATCAAAATACACAGTCTCCCTTTCAGTTGTAAGAAAATATGCCTTTTCCTGCACAATCGTATACCAGTAAAAATACAAGTACAACTGTACTGCATTGCACAAAATTTCCTTCTTGTCGTCCACATTTGAGAAACACTGGTAAGATAAACCCCATAACAACTTCTCAGAGATTAATTTGCACAGTCCAAAGGCCTGTTCTTTGCAACACTAAGTAGACAATTAATTTTACCCTAATGATTTAGCATGAAAGCTGTGTTTCTGGTGCAATTAATAATGTTGACCAATGATAAGACCAGGAACCTACACATTTGAGTACTACAACATGTTGGCATGACAAGTAACATTGTGTTGAAATGAATAACTTAGTAAAGTCTGCTGCCTAGTGATGACTACACTACTACATACAGTAAGCAATAAACATACTAAAGACAAGGTGATGGCATTTTCAGTTTGACTCACCAAATGAGTTTGTCCACACGATTCAAGACAAAATATACATGCAACAGTAAATGTACATACAAAGGACACAGATACACAAGACCCTTTTTCCCTGTTAGTACTGTACCAGAAAGCAAACTGATGTGAAGGATTAAAGGCAACAATCTGGTCAGAACAAGTATCAACTCCTTCCCAACACTGAGATCGGCCGCCACCACTAAATCCAGTTCAGACAAAGTCTATCTGAAGTTCACCTTGCAACTATCTAAAGTACTGTGTGCCAGTATACCCAAGTACATATCGCCATCAGTAGATGGGATATATGTCTGTACAAAACCCCCTCACATTTTGCTTGTCCTTTCCGCACTATAGCAGTTGCTAATGTTGAAGTACAAAGTTAAACAGGTGCTAGCAAAGTGGTCTAAAGGGGCGTAACAAGGACTTAAGCCAACACCCCAGTCAGAAGACCCTGTCCAAATCCAGCAACCTTGCCACACAGAGAGTGTGTCTCACACCCGGGTCTAGATTGCGTCCGGCTCTCTGTAGTTGGGCTCCGTCGCTGTGAAGTAGTCGTCTAAGAAGTTGTGGAGATACTCGAAGGTTGGGCGTGTCTCCTCGTCGCGGGCCCAAGTCTGCAACATGAGGTTGTAGAGCGAGTCTGGACACCCCTGGGGCTGGGGCATCCGGTACCCCCGCTCCACCTGGTCCAACACCTCCCTGTTCATCATCCCTGCAGGACAACACAAGAACCGTCAGGATCAACACAACACAAGTAGTGAGGGTTTTACACTGTAGCAAACAAATCTATGAACTACAGTTTTTATGCTTTTTTAGCATAGTTTCATAGACCTGATCTTCCTGTAAAAGCTGAACAGTGAGGGATGTGATATTGTGATATATGGTGGACCAAAACCACTTTAAAGTTAGAGCAACTAAATGGCACAAAGGAAGAGACATGTTACATAAATACAAAGCAAACCAGTGTACAGTGTACAATAGGGACACAATTAGCTGAAAGTGTGTCGCCTACACACTGATCTAGTAGTAGATTGGTTTATTATTGTTGCTTCACAACAAACATTTACAGTCTCGCAGTGTAAGTAGTAACTCGCACTGAATTGATACTAGGTTGGGATACATAATTATGTGCACAAAGAATGAAGCGTGTCGTGAGCTTTGTGATGGGCTCATCTCCATTGTGAGATCTACAAATATTTAAGTTTATAAACACATGTACAAGTCATTATGGAAATGGGAGAGCTTCCCACATATCCATTTCCCCTCAAATTTCCAGTGACTTTATTTGGGGAACAACATGTTTCCATCATCCTGCAAAACAAATGCTTCCATTTAGGGATTTATATACTTTATCATTTTTGCAAACTTCTATTTAGCTCTGGGAGCCCACTGCTAAACTAGCCTGGGTACCATCCCCAGTAGTATATTCGCAAACTCTATAACTGGGTCTGGACTTGCACACATATGTAGCGTCTGGAGTCTAAATATTCGTTCAGATTTTGAACGAGCGCGCTGATTGGTCCTACTCGTCTAAGCCCTTTTTTGGGTGTGTACATATTAGGTAAGGGCTGTTCGGATGTCCGAACGGCGACGTTAGCGTCCGTTCGAACGTCCGAACGCCTTATCATCAACATGTCCGACGGCGAACCGAACGCTAAAGCGCACATGATATAGCCGTAGTCAGTCTTTCCGTGATAAATCATCAACATGGCTAACGCACAAGCCGCTCAGCTCACGGAGGTTGATGTTGACCTTGCAATCACGTCCGTTTTGGACGATTTAGACGGAATATCGTTGCTCAAAAATGAGCAAAAAGATGCATTGAATAATTTTGTTCGTGATGTTTTGGGCGTCCTACCGGTAAAAAAAGAACGCACCGAGAAAAGGAACACTCGCGCAAAGATCTGTGTTTACAAAACAACAAACATCACTTGAATAATGCAGGTGCGCCATTGGCCGTCGCCTCTGAGGCTCAGCCAATCAAATGAAGCCCCGCTGCTCGGGCTAGCTCATTACGTGACGTCATGACCAATCGTTTTATATGTGTGCAAGTCCAGACCCAGTTATAGAGTTTGCGAATATACTACTGGGGATGGTACCCAGGCTACTGCTAAACAGCTGTTCCAGGAGAAGAACATTTGTTGTTTAGCATTCACAAGGGGGGAAAATAGTCAAGTTTTAATAAGTCTTAGGGCTACAGTCTTCAGAAAGATAGAGGTGACATCATCATGCAAGTAGTGCCTGTGACAGCCCATCATCTGCTGACATGTAGCCATGGCAACCACAACCACCAGCAGCCACCGGGACAGAAACATGACATGAACACATGGTACCTGCACCTAGATGGCCTCAGGCTCTTTGTAGTTTGGCTCTGTGGCAGTGAAATAGTCATCTAGAAAAGACCCTATGTATTCAAACGTGGGTCTCTCTTCTGGGTCCCTGTGCCAACACTGCTGCATCAACTCGAAGAGCGAGTCCGGACAGTCTCTGATCTGAGGCATGCGGTACCCCCTGGACACTTCCTCTATAACCTCCTTGTTGCTCATGCCTAAAAATAAACACCTTCATATACAATCTAATACTCAGTACAGCAAGCCACCACCCAACCAGTCAATCGAAAATATCATGATACATGTACTTACCTCTCCACCTCAAATAAAGCATGCATTTTTTGTTCTTCTCTTTTAAATTGCACGGTAAAACATGATGAGGTTCCTAATGTTTCCACTTTATCCAGATAGTGCAAGTGCTCTTTGCTATGAGGTATTACTAGTAAGTAGTAGTCCCTACAGCAGGACCTTACCAGGGTATGGGATCTTGCCATGAGTCACCAGTTCTGTCAGGAGGATCCCGAAGGACCAGACATCAGACTTGATGGTGAACTTGCCGTAAAGCGCTGCCTCTGGAGCCGTCCATTTGATGGGAAACTTGGCACCTGTAGGGGGAACATCATACAAGAGCTGATCAATACTAGCCAACAGCACTGCTTAGTTCTCACACAAAACAAAAAGCTTGACAGTAAGCTTTATGGTACCTTCTACAAGCAGGTAAGGGGAGAAAACCTCTTTTCTTTTATGTCCACTAAAAAAAAAGAAAATAGAAAGTTTTCAGGGAAACACTCACCTTGTTGTGCCTTGTACAGGTCATCTTCTATGAGTCTGGCTAAGCCAAAGTCTGCTATTTTGCAGTTATTGTCGTCCCCTACAAGTACATTGGCTGCTCGCAGGTCTCGATGCACGTACTTCATTCTCTCAATATAGGCCATGCCAAATGCAATCTGTTGGGGGGAAAACAGTAGTTGATGAGGAAAAGTATGAGAGAAGGTGATAAAATTGTATGTTTGAAATACCATATAGCCATTTCTTTTGACACAATTTTTCTGTAGTATGTGAGGAAAATCAATGTGGTATACCAACTTGGATATGGTCAAGAGTGACTTTCTGATAACTGGACAGTAACAACAGTTCCTGAAGTATGGTAAGTCTATTCTACACTACAATCCAAGGCAAATTTAAATAGTTTACTAGCAATGGTGCTCTTAACATGTCTTAATTCAATTGAAGATCTTTCTAACCATCCCCCTTTATCAGTAACAAGCGATAGGGTAAGACAAGCCTCCCACCTGAGCCCCCATGTCCACCAGTTCTTTTAGCCCGGCCTTCTGGCCATCCCCCTTGACAATATAGTCCAGCAGACTGCCATTGCACATGTACTCTGTGATGATGTAGATGGGCTCCCTGTCGGTGCAGACAGCGTACAGGGCCACCAGCTTCTCGTGGCGCAGTTTCTTCATGATGGTGGCCTCCTCCAGGAAGGCTTGAGGAGACATGGAGCCTGACCTCAGGGTCTTCACAGCCACCTTGGTGCTGTGGTTCCACACGGCTGGGGAGGAAACAGTAAACAAGGCGTCATGATAAGGACATCACACAACTTCACATGTCACTGAGCTATTACTGATATTCCTCCATAGCAGTTCCCAACCAGTGTCTTGATATTGGCATCTTTTGCTACCAATGTGGGTTGTCAACAAATACACACATGTACAATGTAGTGCATGGTCACCAAAAAAAAAAAACAGCTATATCAAAATGGTGAATATATCAAAATGATGATTTGAGAAACATGTACATCTACACCAACTGTCTGCAACAATAACAATAAAATCAAATAATTTCTCAATCAAACAATATTGTCACAAAAACATTACTATACAAAGAACAAATAACTTACCCAACCAGACTTCCCCAAAGTTGCCCTGGCCCAGCTTTTCCTTCAGCGAGATGGACTCCCTGTCTATCTCCCAGGCATCCTTGGTGTGGTGGGAGAGATCCCTGGTCAGGGGCATGGACTTGGAGCAGGGCTTCACCAGCTGATAGGCCAGGCCACCTGACGTCTCTGTACATTAACACATGGAATCATCTGATGAAGGTGGGATCAATGGACAGCTACTATAAAGCATCTATAACACGGCTTCATACTTTAATTTGGTGTAAAAGGGTAGTTCAAATTACTTTGTGGCTCAAGTTATGATAACATGTACCCAGACAGCTACATGTACCTTAAAGTTTGCTTACCAGTGATGGGTCCCACATCTCCTCACAACTTCACAGGCTGATGTCAAACTAAACCTAGGCCTACAGCCATGGAACTAACTCCAAAACCTACTAACAGATCGAGATAACATTTTGCATTGTTCGTAACAGGTCTTGATCCTGACCAACCTGAATAGTGTTGTACGAGTTCCTGCAGGGTTTTGAACTGCGTTCTGCTGGCGATGTAGTAACCTCCACTGTCCAGGTTCCTGATCCTGTAGTGCTTGACTTGTCACCCTTTGTCTCATCCCAGTCCCTCACTGACAGGGAGAAGCCACCTGTAGTCAACACACACACTGGTTATGTAGCACACTGTCTTACCATGCACTGAGTTCCAACCTGATTGGACCTCATCAATGCTCCATGTGTACATGGATTACAACAATCTGCATATTCTGTGCATTCTTGACATCAGTTTCATAACAAAGAGTTTGTTGCACATTAATAAAAGAACAGCCAATGACACTGGCAATTTACCTGCAGTTGTCTCACTCTCCCGTATTAGGAACGTCCCCCTAACGTTGCCTGGTGCCAGCAACAGCTTCTCTGCATCTTTCCGTGCAATCTTTCCAAAGTACCAACTGAAATGATAAAAAAAGAAAAAAGATCGCACAAGACATCAAGATATTTACTTATACATTATACACTCAAAATTAATGCTAGTTAAGCTGTTACTGATGAACAACCCACGTGAAGTAAAAAAAAAAAGAATCATTTATGTAAGAGTAAATCTCTTACTCTTCTGCATTGATGCTGGACACAGGTGCAACATAGTTGCTGGGAATGTAGCCTGTCTGTGATGTAGTTAGTGACCTGGCCTCCCACCAGTCCCCATCTCTGTAGGCGCAAATGATCAATAGTTAACAAACATATGGTTACAAATATTGTCTAAATGGTAAATATCTGTCCGTGACCTGGGATGTACATTGTAATGTGATGAACAGAAACTTACAGGTTGTCTCATGGTCTTTTTTAAACCTGGGCCTTCCAGTAACTGCCGTCTATCAGCTTACTTTCAACAAACTGATATTTTTTAGGGTACTGGCACTTAATGATAAGACCTTGATTGGTCATTAGGACACACAAATACAGTACATGCAAAATCTTCTGCACACATCTCCAGATAATGCTAAATCCAGTAGACAAAGAACACGGTTTCCACCAAATTACTTACTGGTTGTTGATGATTTGAAGCTGTTCTCCCTTTTTAAAGCTCAGGTCATCTTCGGTCCTTGCCGCATAATCATACAAGGCCACAAATATGGTCACTCCTGTGAAATAAGACGTGACTGTTAGTTACAGTTCAGATACATAACTGAAGGACAGGATTATGCCTTTATCACGTTGTAAAGATATAGAATCTTAAAGGGTCTAGTACATGTATTAATAACTTATCCTCTCTCTAGCCAATTTCAAGACATTCAGCTTGCCTCTGCGAGGTTTTCCTATGTATATCATATGTAACAACCAACACAGATGAATAGCCAATATGATAGCCCAGCGAGCAGTACAGTACTGACCTTGACTTGAGATGTTGGAAGAGCTGGGTGCTGTGCTGCCAAAGGACGGAATGTGGACCCCCCCTGCTGGTGAGTTGAAGTTGGGGATGGCTGCCGGGGGGAGGGAGAACCTGTCGTTCTCAGTGGGAGACTGTGTGTATCTGGTGGCATTGTTTGCAGACGCGTCCAGGACAGTCTCATCTTTAGCCTGGTACTTCAGTTTAGGATCATTGCTCTCAGAGCTCTGCACACACCCCATGGCTGCTAACTACTGCATGTCCTATTAAAATACATGAAAGTCACAACAATGAAGAATTATCATCTTCAGACTTCAGCTTCTACTACACTCTAGCCAGAGAAACAAGAGTGATATGTACAGTTTGCACAAACCAGGAGGCAAGGAACAATGAAAGGTAGAGAAAACGAAGGTAATCACTGGCTTTTAGTAGCCATAATTGGTATAATTAGCTGTATCATGAATTTGTATTTATCTTACACCTAGACTGGCAAGTCAACTAGTATGACACTACGGTATAGCCCATGAATTGAGCCCTCCTTAATCAAAGAATAGTAGGTCTTGCGACAGAGGAGTACATATATATACAAATAATAACCCTACATTTCAGGCTAATCTAATGTTATCAGACGATTCTTTGGTCTGTTGCTAGTAATAAGCAAAAATTAATAAGTAAAAATTGCTGTAATTTCAACAGAAAACTATATGTAACATATAGTTTTCTGGTGTATAATTTTGTATGAGATGACACACAGTTTCGACACAATCTGCCACCTGACCCAACCCTGGCAGTGACTGTGGAGCAGCTTGTTCCAGCTGGCCTGAGGCAGACGACCTGAGCATTTGCAAGGTTGTAGAGATCAGATAACAGCAAAGGCCATACGTCAGGGCCATACGTCTACATAATGTGGAAGTCAACATCAAGTTTTAGCAATATACTGCCAATAGAAACACCTATCAAATCACTGCCATTTTATGTGTACATTGTACCTGATAAGGAATGCATGCACAAAATTGACTACACATCTGACTAATACCGATTTTATGCATGTGTTCCTTGCATGCTTAAGTTTTTCACAGAAAATCTGAGTGTGAGAGTGGCCACACTAATTACTTTCAGATAACACAGGATGCAATGGTTTTCAAGTGTGCATTGTCACTTCCTGTATGTAGGCTTGGTTGTTGGACTGTGCAAGAGCTAAAGCAGAAAATACTGTGAACAACATTAGAAAAAATGTGATATAAAACCCCTTTACCCACCAGTTGGCAAATAATTGACCCATACATAATATTACAGATACCAACATGTTTATTTTACTTAGCACACCTGTCCTGTACAGATTAAAACTAAAATTCCTGGCTTCAGTAAAAAAACTGCTGGTCATAAATAATGCCATCAGAAAAACAGTTAATTATGCATGGATGAAATGACATACAATGTACCAGCAAGTCATTAAAAGGAAAGAGCATGTTACAATAGTTGTTGTGTCATGCTGATTTCAAACAACAATTACCCACATTGACCTCCATATACATATAAATAGTACATGCTGTATGGGCATGATAAAATCTGAGTCACATGAAAGGAGGCATGTGCCTGTTAGAGGAGGAAATTATTTCTTATCCTCTTGGCAGCATCGAGAGACTAGACTGACAAGACAAATTGCCAGACATTCCATGGAGGCCTGATAAGCATGGCCCCTTCTTTCTAATGAGTACCCTGTCACATTTACAACATCTCCTTTTCGGGCCCCATCTCTCATCAACTACTCTATTTGTATGGGGATATTAGTACTAGTATGTACTAGTATGTACAGTGCAAGTTGCACAGCTGCAGATTGTAATGGGGATTTCCCAATGATTCTATCATGTTCTGATGGCCTTCACTGCCAAGTTCTGTGTGGCACCACCTCTAGTATTGACTCCACTTTTGTCTGGGACATGTAACATTAATATCTTATATCAAGGACACATTTATTCCTATTTGTGGGATGCTGAATTCATCAAAAGGCAAAGCTCTTCCTCCTGATGACCTGACAGACAGGCATGACCTCAGCCTTTTTGTTCCAGGCCCTCACAACAAACCTACACAAGAAAACAACAGATAAAGGGCCAGGCCACCCATGTGCACCAGGGGGTCCTGTGGGTCATGTTTGGGGGCTGTCCTGGGCAGGGGCAAAAACAGGATGATTTCTATGACTGATAAGACCCTGGGGTTTTTACATCATACTTAAGAAAAGATGTTAGAACTAATAGATTTTCATATCTATCTAAGCACATTCTGTGCCCATTCATACAGATACATTTGTATTACGACATGACTCGTACACATGTGTAGGGCTGGGTCTGTCCCTTTGTGACTCATCCATATTTTATGAGACTTGAACCAAAATCTAAGGAGACTTGCGACATGATATTGACCATCATTTACGATCTACAGCAGATAACGGTTGCCCACAAAGTTGTACATTCCCGGTAGATAATATGAAAGTCGCAGTCCGGTCCGGACCGTCCAAATCCGGCAACAACAGTGGCCCAGTTTGAAGTCTGACAACTGGCCGGAAGTCCCTCCCAAAGGCAGACCCTTTCATCCCCCACCAAATTCTCGCTATATACGTTACAATCCAGTCATGAGAACTGTCATATACCTTACTCTACGTGCAGAACATTGTCCTCTCCAGAGTGGCGCCACGTAGGGAAGTTTCAGTCCTTGGACGGGAACGCTGTTCTTCTATGTTACTGCTTGCCGATACTTCTTACTTACAATGCGACGGCCATATTTCCTGTCACAACAGAGCGGAAGTTAACGGGCGCACCTAGCGGCGCAAACCCCTGAACTGCACCCATTGTTTGCTGCTTAGCATAACGTTGCATTATTTCATACATTCAAGGTACACACGGTCAAAATTAGTATAACAAGTGGGTTTTAAAATTTACTTATAATGCAGTTCATCAGCTGACTCTCGTATTCTGCAAATAACGTGAAAGTGAAAGTACGAAATATACCGGAAGTGTCTCCTTCAGACAGGAAGTATATTAGGTAATACTCAACTAAAAAAAAAATGGGGGAGCTCAATTCCATTTTTCTACGTATTCAATGACCAAATTTGTGATTTAATTTTAGTATCTTATTTAATAGCGACAGAATAAACGAGTTCATAAGAATGATAGCCATTATTATATATGAATATGGTTAATAACATCGTATCAAAACAGCCGTCACCTATTTTTCATATGGTATAATCCATTTTAAGCACAACCTGATGGGGAGCCAAGTTTTCTGAAGATGAACCGAATGAACCTTCCAGGAAATTTTTATCAAAGCTCAAATCTTACCAAAGTGAATGGAACATGTTTGATTGAATGTTTGCCTCTTGAGCAAATCGATTTGAACACTGTAGTTTGGGGAAACTGGAAAGCCAAAACCTTCTTGGAGGTCCTTGTATAATCAGGGCAAGGATGTTGCACTCCTGCAACCACCTCATGATGGAGATTGATTTTCTTGAGTCCTGGCATTTTCTGATAGATGATGACAAAAAGAAATTGTCTCTAAATACCAATAGCGGAATGTTAATATGTTGTTCGATTCTGTGATGGGGCTTCACGGTCATCTGAGCAGTTTCCTAGTATCCTAATTTTACCTCCAATGGCCTCAGTCAATGCATTGACAGGATGATGTTCAGCTTGTAATACACTAGATTGGAACATGATGGATTAGGGATGTTATTAAGAAAAACTCACACTAACTCACTCAAGATCCAGTTTATCGTCCGTTGTTCCTCGCCTTCCAACGGTTAGATGTGCTTGCACTGCATACCAGTAAAATGTTATAAATTTAAACTATTGAAATTATTTGGAGACAAAATTCAAACCCATAAACAAATGGAAACTTTTATTCCTCATTTACATAAACTTTTCCCCAAACATGAGGGTCAAACAGCCATTTTCCGTGCTTATGTGCGATCACTCATTCAATCACTCACTCATTCACTCACTCAGTTTTTCTTCCCTCCAGAAAGGAAGCTGGGCGAGCCATCGCATTTATTTAGGGTAATATAGAAAATAAATATTTTTAATATTATCTTGAATGAACTAGAAGGAACAAAAATTTAACTGGAATAAATTTTTATATGTATCTTTTACATATTTTCTACCAAAAATCGTCTCTACAAAGCTATTTTTCCAAACAGAACAGAGATTCTTGGACTCTTCCCCACCCCGCCATTTCTTGGTACACTCCGAGTTGATTGTTAGTTGAGGCGGCAGCATGGCGTACACACAACCGGCAGGAAAGCGGAAAATCTGCTACTACTACGACGGTAAGTCGTGCATTCCCGACTAAGTCACACCCAGGGATTGATATTTACATTCTAGAGAACACTTTTAGCAGAGTTACGGAGAACTGGGTCGCGTGGATGATTTTTTTGGCGCAGTTTTGCCGGGGCTGCAGAAAGGGCTTGCAACGCTCCACCGCCGGGCGGCGCGCCTGCCAGACGGAACAACAAAGGACTCAAATTCGTGTTCGCCTGGCTCTCCGTTGGACAAGTCTACCCAACATTTACTGTTTAGTTCTGATCAAATAAGTCTCCAAGTCCATCTGGACAATTCAGAAGTTGTTTTAGCCGTCTGTGGATCAGAATAAACAAATTGTTGTTGATTTTCCCGCTCAAAGTAGTTGATTTGATTCTGGCGTAGTTCTGGTTGTGGTAAAGGTGTTGGGGAGGGGTGTCAGATGGCTTATGTGATCATGCTAGGAAATTTTATGGCCCCAACAGAAATGATTGACACAGGAAAACAGGCAACATACGCTTTGTCACATATAATAGTATAAACTCTAAAAACATAAAATTCAGATTGACCCCACAAACAGCAATTTTCGCCCTCATTATGAAGTTTTTATTATTAAGAATTTTCAGACAAATTATAATATTGTTCTCCAAACTCTGGAACCAAGGTAATTGAACCTATACTATCCCTCTCTCGCCCTCAGTAATACTACTAAGGCTATGTATATCATCATCATAGCTTGTCGCTATTTCTCTCAGCAAAAGTCCGAGCAGCTTCACTGGCCTCCTGGAGGTCTGAGTCTGTGCAGGTCGGCGAGAGTCTGCAGTTTCTCATCAGGTGTTGTAGGGTTTGGGGGTCCTCGCCACAGCTGCAGGCTGCACTGTTTGACTTCCCCCACCGTAGCAGGTTGTCAGCTGTCCTTGCAACCTTCGCCCTTGCCCGGTTCAGGGCGACCCAAGACCTTCTACGCTTCAACACTGAAGGCCTATCAGCGGCAAAGAAAGAAAGGCTATGTATATGATAAGGTATATTGCAACTTCTTCAAGTTCATGTGAACTGAGATGTCATTTCCTGTTACTTTCACACCATCAGGTGACATTGGCAACTACTACTATGGCCAGGGTCACCCCATGAAGCCTCATCGAATCCGCATGACCCACAACCTGTTACTCAACTATGGGCTCTATCGAAAGATGGAAATCTACGTAAGTATACTATTCAATTGCCTAAATCTGAAGTATTTTAAAGTATTTCAGTTGAACTAAGTCATGTAAGATCATGTAAGTGGCTGGTTGATATATCAAATTAATACTCATTTTGTCCAACTTGTTCACAGCGTCCTCACAAGGCCTCCTTTGAAGAGATGACCAAGTACCACAGTGATGACTACATCAAGTTTCTCCGCTCCATCCGACCTGACAACATGTCAGAGTACAGCAAACAGATGCAGAGATGTGAGCATTTTTTTAACCTACATGTATTAGGACTGTACTGATGACAGTAAAGAGTGTAAATATGTGCATGGTGATGGTACAGTTTCATTGTGTGTTGTTCATGTCATATCATACACTAGTATTAGTGTTTTTAGCAAATTTTTCTGCTTATCTGTGAATGAAATGCTGTTACTGAGGTCCTTTTCCCCCCACGCTCCAGTCAATGTTGGGGAGGACTGCCCTGTGTTTGATGGGCTGTATGAGTTCTGCCAACTGTCTACTGGAGGATCTGTTGGTAAGTCTTAGTCATTTGTGTGTATTTTTCTTGTTCATTCTTCATAGTCACAGCCTTTACTAGTACACAAAACTATTTAGTTCTAATCAGTATAGGTCTGAAAATGTGTAACCAAACAAGTTGCACTTTTAGAACAAAGTTTCTTACATAAAGTAAAAAAAAATACTTTGCTATTATGGATTCTAATGCACATTCTCTGTTGCTAGCTGGTGCAGTTAAGTTGAACAAGCAGCAGGCTGATATAGCAGTCAACTGGGCTGGAGGTCTTCACCACGCCAAGAAGTCTGAGGCCTCGGGATTCTGCTATGTCAACGACATTGTTCTGGCCATCCTTGAACTGCTAAAGTAAGAAAACCAATTTGAAGTATTCAGTACTACTCATTAAAGAACTGTGAAATTTGCAATGAAGAATCTTGATAATAAAGTAACAAACTACTTGTCTTCATACTTCAAGGGAAAGCGCTCTGGCAAGACTTGCCAAAAGATGTGCCTCTAGATTGTAGTACCTATTCTCAAAACTGTTTTATAACTGTCTGCGTTAGATGGTAAGTCAGGAGGATGAAGGAATAGCTCTCTGTAACATTGGTTCTGATCTCCTCACCAGGTACCACCAGCGAGTTCTCTATGTAGACATTGACATCCACCACGGTGATGGTGTTGAGGAGGCCTTCTACACGACGGACCGCGTCATGACTGTGTCCTTCCACAAGTATGGGGAGTACTTCCCAGGAACTGGTGATCTGAGGGTACAGCACAACATTCCCACCTGCCTCTGCCCTAATCTTGACTATTAGAAATTACCTATATTGTCCTCAGTCGTCTCAAAGAACAGAGCCTTTGTTCAGGCTTATTTGTTCTTAAAGTTTGTCGTGATAAAATGTTGTTAACTTGTTAGGCTAAATATTATGGGCTGGTAAGTCCTTGTTTGCCTTGTCAACAATGAGTATACAATGTAAAAGTTACATCAAGTATGTCCACCTGTCATGAATCGGTAGTATCATTTTTCTTGTTTATGTTAACCCTTGTCCTGCGGGGCCCATATATATATGGGTTGTACATACAGTACCATCTATATAGTGCCCTGTATATGTGCGATTTGGGGGTGTTTCTCGTGCAACGCATCACACCGCAGCGAAACGCAACGAATACGGAAGTAACTACGCCGCCGCAGGGCATAAAAAATCAAGGGTCTGTAACCTGATTAAGACATGAAATTATTTGAAAATATTGTGTAAAAATTGCCAGCAGGACAAGGGTTAATGTTCTTACTCTGGGAACTCAACAACAGTGGCATCAGGCATAGCTAGACTTGTAAATCTGAAACCAATTCTGGATGCGCAATATTTAGGGAAGGTGGTAGATTTACATTTCACTAGTGCTACCGCGCATTTGAACGTGACATACTGTACAAGAGCATACTAAAGGTATTGCATGCTCACAAAGCCATGTCTTGGATGGTTCGTGTTTGTCTCTCAATTTTCTACATATGGAAGACATTGTGCTGACCAAAACCAAAGATGTATTCAGCACATTTTACATCTTATAAAAGATTAGGAAATTTCCATTAGTTATTAAGTCATCCTATCATGACTATATACAAAACTATGTTAGTGTTGCATGCAAAAGTAAGGGACAAACAAAATTTTCCATGATATTGGCATTTCGTCATGTATCAGTCCCTTCGGAACTACATATACATCGTACACAAATTGTAGATGGGACATAAGGCCACATAAGTGCCTCTCATGTTCTACAAGATGGGGGTTGTTTTCTGTCTTTACAGGACATTGGTGCTGGGAAGGGCAAGTACTATGCTGTCAACTTCCCCCTCCGGGAAGGCATCGATGACCAGGCATACGAAACAATCTTTGAACCAGTAAGTGCTGGTTGCTTACTGTTTTTGCAGTGGCGTTATCATACCATAACTTTGCTGTGTTTTTCTACCAGGACATTGGTGCAGGAAAGGGGAAATACTACGCCGTCAACTTTCCGCTACGAGACGGGATAGACGACGAAGCGTATGAACACATATTTGAGCCAGTAAGTTTTGAAACCACCGCGACAATCACATCTTATTAATCCTCCGCACCTTTTTCAATCACGCAGTTGGGGTGATGATTGTTAGTGTTGGGGAAGTGGAGTAATGTGTACCCAGGCCAGGATGGCTGCAGACCCACCGCATCTTGCCGTGATGTTGGTGAATCAGCATTTCCACACAGAACAGTTGTACAAGTGTGTCAAACTGATGCATTTACAATTGTCAACCTGCTGGGCACTTTATAAATATGTTATTCTCCATGTGTTAGAATTAGGTGTGTGATTTAGGATGTTTCTTTTACCTTTACATGTAGCTACAAATGTAACTCTAGTGGGCCAACAGATCTGAGAACTGTACCAATAGTTGTAGTGTTATGTGTCTCCTCTCCTAACAGGCTTTTAGCTAGGATTTTATGATGTAATTAGGATTTTATCTCACTTGATCTGCATACTGAGTATTTAAAGAAAAAACATCAGAAAGAAGATGGTACCTCTTTCTGTAACTTGTCATCCTTCCTTCCAAATGGTGTTCCCCCCTTTTACATGTCCCCTCTTAGATAGTGTGATAGGAGTGGGTAGAATTCTTCCACATGAGAGTGAATTACAGATGTATAACGTTGAACAAACGGGTAATACCCATGTAGTAAACTGCATTGACCATTCTTATGTAAACAGTAAGTGTCATGTTTCTGAAAGATACAGTACGCATACACTTAGTGAAATGGGAAAACCTTCAGCTGTATAACTGTTAACCACATCACAGGTTTTTCATGTTGTTTCATGACTAACTGTCAGGGCTTTTGCCAGCTATTAATTTGTCAGACATCCAAATTTCCCGATGTCTGAAAGGGAAGGTTATAACTTGAATCAAATTTTACGCATTTCTATTTGCAGTAGTTTGGGGCCAATGATATCAGAATAGTAAAAAAATTGTTTTGGCTACAGCTGGCAAAAATCCTGATTACTGTTGTTGATTTATATCCATTTTTTCTAACCTTTTTGACAAAATGGTAAGGATGAGTAATATTTTTGTATTTTTAATTTTATGTGTGTACTAACTGGTAGAGAAGGTAACTAACCAAGGAAAAGTCTTGTTTTACATTCAGAAAATGTTTGTGAGCATTTACATCTCCATGAGCAATTTGCAGTCTTTGGAGGGCAAATTTGGGATGAGTGCATTTTGCTGAAAAAGAAACATCTATGTCACATGTCATGTGACATGAGTATGTCACATGACATCACATTTGGAGTTTCCTGCTACTGAGTTCATGTAACCTTCCCTAATTGCCATGCTGCCTGACCTTAAGTAGTACCTTTTGATGAAACCTATGGCACAATCAGGAAATAACATGGAGATGTTCTTGCTCACCAAGGCAACTTCTGAGTCAGTCTTCTGGCTCTGATGTACACTTTAAGTCTGACAAATCATTCCACATTATGTGCTCTCCCTACCAAAGTGTCTAACTCACCACACACTTCTCTCCTCTCAACACATCCACATGGGTACCACAGGCCATAGGTCAGACTTTGCTTGAAGTGCTAAGTCGGGACCTTTTCCTTGTTGCAGGTCATGTCCAAAGTGATGGAGATGTACCAGCCCAGTGCTATAGTACTGCAGTGTGGAGCAGACTCTCTGTCAGGGGACAGGCTGGGCTGCTTCAACCTCTCACTCAAAGGTAGGATCTCAAAGTTTCTTTTTTCTTGCCTGAATCATACTGGGAGACATGATGGCCATGTTGTAAAAAATAGAAAGCAGCTGAAACAGTTCATTCCAAAGTACGTCTTGGGTGTGGAAGTTTGAATCTTTCTGAAGGTCCTCATCATGTCCACCCGTTCTCAGGTCACGGGAAGTGTGTGGAGTTCATGAAAAAGTTCAACATTCCTATCCTGATGCTGGGAGGAGGTGGCTACACCATCCGTAACGTGGCACGCTGCTGGACCTTTGAGACATCCATCGCTCTGGGCTGTGATGTCGCCAATGGTGAGGGAATACTCCTGTCATATTTGTATAAAAATAAATGTATCAATACGAGTTAGGCTTTGTCAAAGGTACTCTAAATCTTGCAATGTTTAATGTTATATTTTTTGTGAATAGAAATTAAAATGCTGCAAATGTGTTTTGTATTTCTATGGTACTACAGAATTGTTTTTAACACTGAACTACTGTTAATGATAATGTTATGTATAAGTGCTGCAAAAGTAAATGCATTTACAGTATATTCTATTTATCATAACTATTGATTTAATTGGATTCAAGAACTGTAAAGAATATTTGAAATGTTAAACACAATGAAGAACAGACAGTTTGGAGCATCTAATTTTCAAAAGTTTTGTTTTAAGCAGATTGTATTCTGTTTGTATTGTTGTGATCCACATGCTGAACAAAACTTTTGTTCTTTGTCCACAGAGCTGCCGTACAACGACTATTTTGAATACTACGGCCCAGACTTCAAATTGCACATCAGTCCGTCTAACATGACCAACCAAAACACACCAGAGTATTTGGAGAAGATCAAGTAAGGCTGATTTTTCTCTGCTCTAATTACATCAATCTGCAGTTGTGAACACTCGCAATAATTTGTGTGTGTTGTTTTTATGTGTTGTGATGATAATTGATAAAAGCAAATTTTGGCAGAAGAGTGGTCTGATTTATCAGTGTATTTTATTTTGTTCTTCCTGCAGACAGCGACTGTTTGAGAACTTGAGAATGTTGCCTCATGCACCTGGTGTGCAAATGCAAGGTAAGGACTACTTGGAAACCTTGGAAACCTTGATAAACCCAGTCTTGGTCTTGACTATTTTATCAGACAGTGCTGTCATTCACCACTTAGTCACCTCTTGATTTTAATCCTATCTTTAGATATTTCTTATGCTGTATATTCTATTCAGTGGTGTCGCTAATACAAGCATATCACTTGAGTGCACCTCTGTATTTTCCTTTGAATGTTCCAAGTTTAATTAATAGGTCATTAATAGTTTTCTTGAAATTCCATGACTTTTTCGCAGCTATTCCCGAGGATGCTATAGACCAGGAGAGTGAAAATGATGAAGAGGACGACCCAGACAAGCGTGTATCAAGTAAGTAAGATTAGTCATACATTGGACCCAACCAACAACTCATTTTTTGTTTGTACATGAAAAGGTGTACAAATTCCCATCATCGGTTTCATATGGTGCAGATTTCCTGTGCTTTGATTTTTGAGATCAACTACACATATGAACTCACAAACAGCAATGGTAGAGATGTTTTAACGTCAGATATAGGGATTTTCTTTTACACAACCAGTAGTGTCTCTCACCTTGCGTTTCAGTGTCTATCAGACACCTTTCTCAGAGCCACCAAAAAACGTAAGCAAGGTACCGGTAAGAGACACCACTTTTAGTGTAAAAGAAAATCCATATATCCTACCAACCTGATAAAACTATTTTTGGATGTAACATCATCGTGCATGTATTGAACATATTTCCAGTTCGTGCCCAGGACAAGCGCATCACCTGTGATGAGGAGTTTTCAGACAGCGAGGATGAGGGCGAAGGCGGGCGACGTGATCACCACAGCCACAAAAAACGAAAACGGTTGCAGAGGGAGGAAGACAAGAAGGAGGAAGAGAAAAAGACAGGTCTGTGTTGTTATAATGTAGAGTTAAAACTGTTGTCCTCAAATGGGGTTGTAACCATATAGCAGAGTGGATTTACTCTGGTGAACTCTTTTGTACTTGGTGCACAAAAAACTGCAATGTCTAACAGGTAGAATTGTACATGTACATAACAAGTAATAAGTTAGTGATTTGTGTCTTTTCAGAGGGTGGGAAAGACGACACAACTAAGTCAAAGGAGACCAAATCAGAGGAGGCAGCAACAGCAGCCTCACCAGGAGCACAAGATGCCAAGTAAGTGTTGCTGCATCCATGTAGCTTCTAACTGCTTTCAAACATCAACTATTGGCCAGAAGCAGATTTCACAGCTTTTACCAGTAAGCTGTAAGCAAACCTTCCTGTGTTGTGTTCCACAGGGGTGGGGCTGAGCCCAGCAGGGACCCAGAGGTGAAGATGGACACGTCTGACAGCCTGGCACCCAGCTCTGACAGCAAGGACGCAGGTCAGGCAGCTTACAGGACTATTCAGTATCTCAATCACTGATAAACATCCTCATTTGGAATTTGGCTGGTCGCAGAGAACATTTAATCATCTCCCATTCATTAAGAATTTACTAGAAAATATTTTGTCCTGGTTGGAGGGGAACAGTCACTAATGTTGTGCCACATTTTCTGCATTAGGACCTGTGAATGGCTCCAGCACAGTCAGACCTGCCCTGGGCACTCCGTCTGGATCTCCCCTGGTGGCCCCCCTGGACCCTCCTGCCTCCACCCAGCCTCAGGAAGAGAAGATGGAGCACTGATGATCAGGTTTACTACTTCTTCAGTAACTCAAAAAAAAGGAGGAAATACATTTGGCAATGTTAATCCAGGGGAGGGGGTTTTAAGTGAAGGCATTGAAAATCCAGTCTTGTCCCCCTTTGTGCTTTACTTTTGAATTCAGCCCTTCAAGGGAATGCACAAAACTACTCATAAGTTGAATAGTGGCTATATTTTTGGAATGCCTGCCCTTGTGTCCCTGTCAAATCTTTGTTTAATGCTTTGCACCCCCTCCCTTGGTAGTCCATTGACAGATGTATGATTTTGACATAGGGTCTTTACTAGTAAAGACCTGTGTGAAGAACCACTTGACCAGCTTACATCTGGGCAAAGTGATGTGGTATATAACAGATAGGATGTATGTGTATGACAGAAGCTACTTTTTCTACTTATAGTGCAGACGGGGGTATTTAAGTGTAGTTGTAGAGGACAGCCAACATGAGATGGAGCTTTTGTTGCATCTGATATTAAAGTTGTGAGGAATTTACAGCAGGCCTTTGCCCTGAGAACATTATAAGACACACCTACTGGTACATACTCCAATAAAAACTTTGACATTGTAACTCATTGCCATGCATGAAAGGTGGGTGGTGTGATGCCAACAATACATAACATGGGCTTCTTACACTCATGATTGTCTGAACATGTCCAAGTATCTGTGTTCACACTTGTAAATATTATATTCCCACTGTAGGGCTCTGTTTTTGATCAATCACCAAGAGACTCCCATTTACTAGATCTGAGATGTACTGTTAGATGACCCTTTGTTTGCATAACTAGAGCTGTTTTGTGGTACTTTACAGTGTCAGGGATCCAGCTATTTTCATCTTCCATTATATTTCTGGTTGAGGGGTATGCACGTTCTATGAAAACAAAGATTACACTTTTATGTTGTGTTCACTAAATAAAAAAAGAAAGAAAAAAAGATGACGACCTTTGTCCGTAAAACACAGATTTTTGCATAGTGAGCATTTCAATTATGCAGTACCAGTGTTAGCATACCACTGAACAAGGGATATGTCTATTTTATTATTTCTATATTGTCCTGACAATTCTGATTTCTGACAGTATCATTACAGAAATAGTTGGAATCATTTAGTGTATGGTGTAGATTTACAGAGTTCTGTACAAGTTATTGTTGCTTGTTTGGGAGAAGACCTTGCGCTGTGCCTGTAAAGAAGGCTAAAATGGAACAGAAGTACTAGTTTTGTATGTTGACCATGTCTTGTGAATGCCCTGTAACATTTAACTTGTATCTCATGTACTATGTAGTTTTAGACAATAAAGAGTTCTTATACTGGCCATGCGTCACTGTAACATGTATGTGTAAAGTTAGTGGTACACTGTGTATGATCCAAGCTATACCATATTTGTTACGAATACACAACAGAGTAAGTCAACCAACTGCTGTAAAAGCAATTATTTTGAGTGATTTATTACTAGAAAACCTAAGTACAGTTTAAACAGGGATTTGGCCATACAAATGTTCTATCTTAAAACATTACAATCAGTAGCACTGCTACTTCTTTATCTATGCAAGTCACTTGACAAAAGAACACACCAGCTTTAAAAGCACCTGGCGACAGCTTGCCACACCTTAAGCAATTTTTCACACCTGGGCTCATGTAAATTGTACCTTCTATTAGGCCTTGTCCTGCACCCTAAGACGCAAAAGTTCTCCATTAAATGGAATGGAAAATACCTTTGTGAATGACTACCACCTCAACTCCCTCCTTTTTAGTACATATGAAACCAAAACATTCTAAAGCATTAGCAGCCTGTATTACTAGTAAATTCTAACATGTTTATGCTCTTCAGCTGGAAAGACTTCTCAATGTTTTAACCTATTGCATAGTACTAAGTAATCTTTTTAGAAGGCACTGTGGTAATTTCAACAAGCAAATACACTGCTATAAAACAAAGTAGCAAATATTGGTCCAACAACAATATTCAATTTAAATGTTCAAAATCCAGTACAATCAATTGCACAAGTTTTATCATTAAAAGTGCACTATCATTGATACAGGAGCAAGATTAACTGATAATGATAATGCAACAATCAGTGCATTGGCTTTGTCAAATTGTGGTGCTTTCTGATTGGTCCTTTTTGACAAGTAAACATATTGCCACATTGACTGGGGAAGCCATCCAAAAATTACATGTATAAGTTCACAAAGAAACTCATTAAAACAACATTATAGTCCTAGCATTAGCTATCCCATTAGAAACATTGTGTTTGCAATGTCCCATCTTATCTTATTTCTGGCCTTTTGACACAATATAAATCTGCTTTGCCCTATAAAGTTAAGCTTGGAATGTCATTTGAACTAGTGTGAAAATAATTATATATAATTAGAAGACTCAAAGTGTCTATTATCAAAGCATGAGGTAAATCACTAAAGTCATTAATTTCCTGAGTTAGACTGCAGAAGGAGAGTACTCAAATGTTTGTTGAAAAAGACAAAAAATGGTAAAACTGCAAGGCCACACTGGACAAGTTGATAAAAACAGTTAAGCTGGTAACCTGAAGAGGCAACAAGGGTTTTTGAATGTTTATAGTTGCACTAGTGATGACAGTATTTAGAAAAAAGGTTCCCATAAATCCATTATATATTCATTAAATACTCCATTTAATTTATTATAAGCACTAGGAATCAGTTGCATGTGAATACTAAAAGGAATGTGGAATGTGGAAGATGTTCACTTGTCACCTAGTCCTTCTTGAAGCCCTGAGGATTCTGGGACTGCCACCTCCAGCAGTCTTCACCTGTGGTACAACAGTAGAACATTCATGATGTAACATGGATACAAGTTACAAATTTTAAGGCTTTACATATCTTCTATAAGTACATCAGTTTTGTGTTGCATGCAATTTGATTATTTCTGTGAGTACATGTAGGCCATACATTTTCATCTATGCATACTATCATTAAAAATGAGTAAGAAATAGATTTCCCGAAGTGCATGACCCCCAATCTATCTGCTTGACACAGTGTAAAACAAAGCAGGTACAGGCAAAGTCAAATTTTGCTTGAGTTTTGTGACTTACACATTTCTGTGAGACCACGTTCTGCCTTCCAGCCCAGCTCCTTCTCTGCCAGCGAGGGGTCAGCATACACCGAGGCAGAGTCTCCTGCACGACGGTCAACAATCTTGTAGGGAACCTGGAAACCATAACAGTGGTCACTTTGTGGGCATTTTATGTGTATGATAGTATGTATCATCACAGATACTCTGTCAACAAGTGAAAAACCTAATGCTCTTAAGTTTATTGGAGAAGATGTCTAGTAAATGAACTTTCTGGACATACTTTTTTCCCACTTGCTTTCTCAAATGCTTCCACCACCTGCAACACTGAATATCCCGTGCCAGTGCCCAGATTGTAGACCTGAAAACAATTCGAAGCAACATTGTCATTGTGTTCAGGAATAAGGACAGTTAGCTCATCTGACAACAATCTTGATAAAATCAATGCTATGCTGTGCTGCTTTGGAAACAACTACATTGCTTAAACATGACAATGTGATGACAATGATATGATGCTCATACATTCATGTAAAAATGTATTTGTAATAAAGGAAAAAGCCTTAAACCTTGCATCCAGAGATGTCCTTAAGTTTTTTCAGTGCAGCAATGTGACCCAGTGCCAGGTCCACCACATGGACATAGTCTCGCACACCTGTGGGGAAAATAACAATAACCATGAATTTTGTACAAAAAGGAAAAAAAAAAGTTCAATTTTGAGACTAATTTCTTGAAACAGCTCACAGAAACATAATGCCAGCAATGTGTAGTAATCTCTACCTGCCAACTGTAATCTGCCCCCTGATTTTTTACCTCCTGAAGTATCAAAGCAACAGATATCATTGATAAATAAACCAGTCTGATATTTACACTGATGCTGCTAATATATATAACGTCTATTTGTACATCTAACAGGACAAACCTGTGCCATCCACTGTGTCGTAGTCGGAACCATAAACACTCAGCTCTGGTCGACGCCCCACTGCCACCTGGAACAGAAGATTAACATTACCTTTGGCAAACAGAGGACTGTACTGAAACAATTTGCATGTTGTGCAAGTAAAATACTTGAAGCAGTGAGTGATTTCTTACTTTTTGAGCTCATTACAAGCACAGGTTTAGCTGTTGAGTTTCCAACTGGTAACTGATTATGTTTTCAGGGCCCAAAAGGTTTGTATATTATTGTATAATTATCTCACCTGTGATACATATGGCAGCAGGTTGTTAGGAATGCCACTAGGATCCTCCCCAATAGTGCCAGACTTGTGGGCTCCGATGGGGTTAAAGTACCTCAGCAGGACAACCCTCAGGTTCTGGGAAACAAGTTATGGGAACTTTATCACTAATATCAGGTGTAAAACAATGACAGATGGATAATATATGCACCTCTTATGTAGGTATGATGCTGTACAGTGGGTTTACATATCCATTCTCACCTTTTCAGCGATGGACAAGTCCTTCAGAATCTCCTCGATAACATACTTGGTCCTTCCGTAGGGGTTGATGCAGGCCCCTGCAGGGTGACTCTCTGTGATTGGCAGGAACTGTGGTTCTCCGTACACTGTTGCTGAGCTGGAGAACACAAAGTTGTAGACCCCCTTCTCAATCATCACCTGGAAACAAACAGTTTTTGCCATTAAACTTCTCTTTTTCAATGGGAATTCATCCAGGGTCTGACTATGAGAAAATCTTTCTATCAACATAACAACCAAAACAACAATTTACCCCCAAGCAAATGTTGGGATGAATGATCATGTTTTCTTCAGTCGTGACCTCAATATCTGATTGGAGATTAACATGAGCAACCATGACCAGGACATCCTTACCTCCAGCAGGTTAGTGGTTCCCCCGACATTGACCTTGTAGTAGCTGAGTGGTTTAGCAACAGATTCTCCCACAGCCTTCAGTCCTGCAAAGTGCACTACAGCCTCAATGTCATGCTGTAAGAAATTAGAAAACAAAACTGTGTTTATTGTATAATGGAGGACATCAGTTTTGTAGTTATACAGCTGTAGTCAATGTTGTTACTGTACAATGTCCTTGTGCACATTTTTACGGAATGCAAAAATAACTTTCTAAAATATCTCATAGAACATCATTTATTGTCACCCAGCCATTCTTTTCAATGGTTTATCTAGAAATATTAGCAGAATATAAATATAAACTTACTTACTGCATGCATTGTTGAATAGAGGATTTGGGGTTAAGTATTGTTTCAAACACATTGTGGATATGCACAATTAGGACGAAAACAACCCAAAAGGCTGGCTGTACCACAGTGAAGTGGTACTGTTACAACTGAGAAAACAACCTTATCAAAGATGGCCTGTAAAGCTGGCTTGTCCAGGAGGTCTGCACTGTAGAATGGAATGGTTGTGCCTGTTATAGCTTCAACCCTTTTCAAACTCTCTGAAAGACAAAAAAAAATTCTCAGCACTGCCATGTGTATAGAGATAGGGTTTATAGGCTACCTGTTATCAGAACAAAGTTATGTCCCAGAGCTATACAGTTGTCAACTTTCAATAACACTCTTTAAGAAACAAGAAACCTATCTACACAAGGGATTCTACATACCACACGCACGCACGCACGCACACACACAAACACAGCCAGGAGCTTTAAATTCAACTAGCACACATACTCACACCTTTTTTTTTTAAACATATAACAGATATGTCAAAAAGCAGTTACTCAAGCAACTGGATATGATTTTGGAAATGGTCAGACATTTCAGCTAGTATCCACTTACTAGTAGCTTTTGTCAGTGACTGAGAAACCAGAGGAGAAATGCAGGTTTATAAAGTATAAGCACAAACTATTGATTGATATGCAAATAAAGTGAAGACAATTTTTTAGAAGTTGAAAAGGCAACAAAAGTCAAGACAATATAATGCAAATTAGTCAGCTAATAATTAGTCAGCTGATGAAAGCTAGTGGATACTAGCTGAAACGTCTGACCGTTTCCAAAATATCATATCCAGTTGCTTGAGTAACTGCTTTTTGGCATATCGTATTACCTGGATGTCTAACCTTCACCGACGTATATAACAGATAGTTATTCAGACTATGCCATGCCCATTACCTGTGCCTAAAAGCTTGAGTTGCAGGTTTACCCATTTTTCCACACTAACGTTAGATAAGTACCTGGGCAGGCATTAGACAGGTTGTCCAGGACGACTGGTGAGAATCCTGCTGTGACCATCTCCACCACCGTGTGGCTGCCGATGTACCCCGCACCTCCAGTCACCAACACATGCTTCCCTGACATCTTCTCTGCTTCTGGAGGAATGGAGAAAATACTGGAACTGGCCTTTTTGGTGCCTAGTTGGCCTGGACTCCATCCCTATGAGATATTGGCACTTCCCAGCAACGGTGAATATGGGAAGTGCCAATAGCTTGTAGTGGCACATCGGGCAGAAAGTTGACGAGTTAAACTACAACAGTTTAACTTCAACACTTTTAATATTCACAACACTTTATTCTCGAAAAATGATCCAGAATTTTCAGCTGGAAGATAGTGCATTAAAGATTTTGTCAGCTTCAATGATGCTTTACCATAAACTCAGGGGTGAAAAAATTTGCACCCTCTTCAAACCAAGGAGTTGACTGGACCTTGCCAAGATATTGAGAACTTGCCAAAGTTCATGTAACTGTTACACAGTGCCAATCAATAATATAATAGCACCTCCACCTACATTCCTACGTTACTGTAATGGTAATATGTTTTTCGGAAAATCAATATGAACATCATCTGCTTACAAGCAACTTTATACTTGAAATCCATACAAACCACGCAATTCTGAACTGTCTATTTGAACTTTCTAAGTTTAACAAAAGCTTGATGCTAATTTCTTATCTCTGTTGCCAGGAGCTAAATAGAAGTTTCATTTCCTGGGTAACCACACAACATGACCGAGCGGTCCTCGACCGAAAGCTCGGGGAAATTATGTCTGCTCCCTGCTTTTCTTGTGAAAACCTAAACGTACATATTGCTGGGCCGACCAAGCGCAGGTATTTTTTATTAAACGTTAACGTTACACGATCATAAATTATTTCTGAAGGAGGTGTAACTTGGAAGACAGAACTTCAACGAATGCCTCCTTCTTTGGTTGATTTCTGTTTGTCAAATCAAGTGTCAGAATCGTTTGATAGTACACAAGGCTACCTACAGCACGCCTGTACTGAACTGCCCCTGTATGACCTGATATTCTCACCTGTCACAGTTTACAACACACGGAACACAGGTGAGAGTCTCCCGCCAGCCAGCTGACTGCCACGTCACATGGGACAGAACCTAGCCTCCGATTCGCGATGCCGAATTCTGCGAGATAAGTAGCACCACATTCAACCAGCCACCCATTCTTATGAAGTTTAAATACGTACTTTGGTACACATGTAGCGTTAATACGATAAACTGACAGTAGGTATCATTTTCCTGATCATTTTCTGAGCTCCATGAAAATATAACGTTGCTCAAATAAAAAATGATGTTCTTTTTTAAATGCCCAGATACTAGTAGGTCCCAGGGTAGGTCCCAATCGGCTGTTTTGAGAGGAAACCACCTGTTCAATGCGGATGTCTTGCAGCGATTTCAAATTCAACACCGATCCATCTCTGGATCCATTTATATAACGTTACTGCCCAAGATTCATTATCACAGGATTCATATTTGTTTTTGAGAGTATGACATGTTCTAAGACAACTAAATAACCCCCAAAATGAAAGAAACATGGTCCGTCCAACATATAATAAGGATACCTTATCTGGCGAAACGACCGACCTGTCGATCCCGTCTCGCACATGACTTGCTGTCAATTGTACTGTGTGTTTTTGACCTGTACAACTGAGGTTCAGGTGTTACAAAAATCACGTGCACGGTGAGTCTGTAAAAATGTGTAAACTTGATATAGCCGACAGGATTGAGTATTGATTCCCCTTACGAAAGGGATCATTAGAAATGCTAACTTGCCGTGACCAACTGATTCAAATGATTGTGAACCCCTTGCTCAGCTTGCTGTGACGAAGATACCCCGGAACAAGACTTGAACAAGACACTTAATCACGCCCCTCCCCATAGGCCAGCAGCTGGGATGTCACGTTACGACCTATAGATCGTTGACCCCTGCATTCTGACCCTACATACTGAGTCTGGTGACCTGTAGGCGTGTACGCGTGTGTTGAAACATTTGTGCTGGTGGTTTCGCCAAAGGTAGAGCCCCACTGAGACAGACAGTACAACCTCGACATGGCCAACAAGCCTGAGTACCGATTCCTGGGCGGCAGCGGCCTCAAGGTGTCCAACATCTGTCTGGGCACCATGACGTTTGGGGCAATGGTGAGGTTTGTGCTATTTTGGAAAGTGACCTTAAATCTACAAGCAGCATGATGTGGGCTCTTTCTGTAAACTTTCCTGTTGGTCACCATTGCACCAGGTACATGTTGTGTACATGTGGTGATCAGCTATCACATGTGATATAAATACTCGAGAAGCCATCAACACAAGAAATCAGCTGAGGGGGCCTGATTAGCAATTAGAAGGGGCGGGGACCTCGTAATTTTCTGGGTCACGCTCACGCCCCTTTTATGCTGAGTCATGATAAGTCACAGTTGGAGAAAGAAGACAGTTATATATTAACTCTTAAATCTGGGTCTTATTATAATTAACTCAGCGCAAACGCCGTATCAATCTGTGGACGCACCTGTGTTTCTGAATTTGGGCTGCGGTCCCCGCTTAGACGCCCAGAAGGACATCTTTACACAGTCAGACACATCAACTAGGTCCGTCGGTCAGCGGCAGAGATAATCTCCAAGCAGGTCTTTTAGTGGGGGTAAGACAGTATCAAATTGGCCAGTCTGTAACCAATGGTTACGTTACAGACTGGCCAATTTGATACTGTCTTACCCCCACCAAAAGATCTGCTTGGTAGATTAGG